TTGTACATGCATGGCATGGTACGTGTGATGCCATGTACAACCCCGCCGTCAGTCCACTTATTAGATGGGTCACGGGCGTTATTTGACCATACTTCACCATACTGGTGATTGTGGATTGAAGGTGGGGAGTATGAGGCACGGGAGCATAGAAGTACAGTACAACAATGAATCATTGCTGCCCTCTGCTCGTCCAAAAGGCAGCCACACAGCTCTATGGCGATCTCTACGCGCAGTATGTGCTGATACACTGACGGTTGCTGGACGTGCGCGTGTAGACACGGCACCTCTCTACAAGGGAATTTCAACATCCTTAGTTAGTTGGGGGGGGGGGGGGAGTACGGATAAAATGTATCCTGCGCACTCATGAAAATATTTCTAATATTTCTAATGTTGAACGACTCCTAAAAGGCCCACAGTATTACACGTAATTACTATCCGTCGAAAATAACATTTGTAAAAAAAAAAACACGTTACATATGAGCGATAATTAAAGAGCGACACACACACATCGTCATCACCATCATCAGCCCGTCGCATCACTCCCGTGGTGGAGGACCGCGTCTCTTAGTAAGCAAGAAACGCGTGCACAGTTAAACACAAACCCATGTTGTTATGCACAAGGACTGCGATTCGCAAGTCTTTGGTCTTTTGGCTTTTGTCCTGCTCTCAGTGGGTTCGTGGAATCGCCTATCCACCATGCGTACGGATTGAACGGTGTATTAAATTAAAACGACGTCTCAACGTGTCCGCGTGCCCACACGAACATTGAGTTACTGCTCGGCAGTCCCCAGCCACTGGTGTGAACTTCTACGATTTTATGACGGGGCCCAGTCTTTACAACAATAATTCACCGTCCACAAAAGTGTTTATATGGATTTCATGAATCCCAGAGGAATGGTGGACTAAGTCGACCTCCAACTGAAATCTGAAGGTTGGGCCTTTTAATTATGGGGAATTGGAACACTCGGTCATTACGCCGCATGACCAGATAACAGTCTTTAAACGCACAATACTGTAATACGAGGTGAGTAGCAAACGTTGTTTTCATCATAGTCCACTTGTCAACAAACATATGCGAAAGAAAACGCCCACCAAGGGTTAAATTCGTAACATTTCAGTGGAGTAGAGGTGTCAATAGGGACCGGCTTTCACCAGCCTGCACTGACCGGCGTGGTGAAGTATGGTCAAACAATTCCCAATTCGTAACATTTCAGTGGAGTAGAGGTGTCAAAAGGGACCGGTTTTCACCAGCCTGCACTGACCGGCGTGGTGAAGTATGGTCAAACAATTCCCAACTCGTAACATTTCAGTGGAGTAGAGGTGTCAATAGGGACCGGCTTTCACCAGCCTGCACTGACCGGCGTGGTGAAGTATGGTCAAACAATTCCCAATTCGTAACATTTCAGTGGAGTAGAGGTGTCAAAAGGGACCGGCTTTCACCAGCCTGCACTGACCGGCGTGGTGAAGAATGGTCAAACAATTCCCGTGACCAGGGGTCGACTACCAACATAACAAGATATTTTTTTTCGAAGTCACAAAAAATACACAATTGAAGAGCCGCAATACACTGCGTGGTGAACACGAGACGGAGGTTCCTTTATAAAAGACGTCACAAAGCAGCGGTGGCTGTCGCCTGCCCCATGACCACCAACGCCGTGAGAAGTCCTCGATCCGATTGTCCTTTTGCCCCAGGCCTGTGGTTAATGCAGACTTGATGATGCCTTGCAAAATGTGCGTATGTTTGGTGTTCGAACATCTTATTGTTTGAAAATCTTATGTTATTGCCAGAAAACAAAATGGGTAAAGCCCATTCGCCTGATTTGAAGCTTTTGTGACTGCCGGAATATATACTCTTTGGTTCTTTCGGTAAAGTCACGTGGGTAGAACAACAACAATAATAGATCACGACGCTTCGATCGCCACACAAGCGGTCGACCGCTTTAACGAAACAACCAAAGGGTACCCATTCGTCTGATTTCATCATTTTGATACCAGATAAAGAGACTCACAGATGTCTTTTTGTCCTGGGTGTCGGAGCGGAGCGCCACGTGTTGCCGCTCGTGTCCACGCGGGGGCGCTGCAGTATTTGTAATCAAGGCTGCTAACAAGTGGATTTTCGTGCAAACAAAAAAATTAAGAGATCAGATTTCTTGCCAAAAAGAGCTTTCGAGGCTGCCGAGATGTATGGCGTCTTGAATACCGTTTTAAAAGACACGTTGCATGTGTGAAAGCGATACAAGACACGTTGCATGTGTGAAAGCGATGTCACGTTGCATGTGTGAAAGCGATAATGACACGTTGCATGTGTGAAAGCGATAAGAGACACGTTGCATGTGTGAAAGCGATACAAGACACGTTGCATGTGTGAAAGCGATACAAGACACGTTGCATGTGTGAAAGCGATAAGAGACACGTTGCATGTGTGAAAGCGATACAAGACACGTTGCATGTGTGAAAGCGATAATGACACGTTGCATGTGTGAATGCGATGTCACGTTGCATGTGTGAAATCGATAATGCCAGGAAGCGGCTCTTGCTATTGAAGGGTAGCCGTTACAAACACTGCTGACCGAAACACCTGGAAGCGAGAGAATTGTAGTGACAAGGTATGGGGCCGTCCATAAATGACGTCACGCACCTGGGGGGGGGGGGGTCAGACATTTGTGACGATGTGTGACGAGGAGGGGGGGGGGTGAAATGTGACGTCACATCAAAATGCGCAACTTTTAAATATAGAATTGTTATAACAACACTCCTACAACACCAGAGTGCAGCGCCACATTAAATACGCACTACAATAACAATAGTTTAAAGCGATTTGAAGCATGTTTTATTTTCAAAATGGAAATATGGTTTTGGGGGGGTGGGAGGGGCAGAGCTTTGTGACGTCATATTTGAGGGGGGGGGTCTGACCTTTGTGACGCCGTGTGACGAGGGGGGAGGAGTAAAAAATCGTCAAAAATCGCGTGACGTCATTTATGGCCGGTCCCCAGCGTGGAGCTGGCCAGTCGGGGTCAGGGACATTTTGAATGGCCTGAAAATTTGCCTAAAGTGCCGAGCAGTAATTGTTGTCTGAGTCGTGATGTCACAATGCTTTTGTGTATCACGGCAACTCCAAATGTTGAGACGTCTGCCAAGTTTATTGTTTCATGGATTTTCTGTTTGCACAGTCACACATAGTCACTTTAAGATGTTTTTCTTGTTCGTGTTTTTGTGCTTTTGTTTGTTGTGGTTGCAACCCGATTCAAGAGCCGAATCGCTCAGAGGGCTATGCCAAAATAAATAAACTGAAAACTGAAACTGAAAAACTGAATCAATGCGGTTACACATCCACATTGTCCGTAATGTTTTTTTTGTGGGGTAAGATCGCGTAAATGGGTCGTTAAACCCGCCACCACCCGACACAGCCAATTAGTAAGGCTTGTCGCGTAAATAGAACGTGCCGATTCGTTACTAGCACAGCACACCCGGTGTGTTGGAAAGCAAATCCACAACATTTACAATTCACGTTGTCTTGTGCGTGCGCCTTCTACCATAACCCGTTGGCAAGTCTGAGGAGGTCAGACGTTGATTGGTACGTGCCAACGTGGGCTGCACGTTCCGCCAGAACTTTGATGAATCCCTGCGACACCCCCGCTCCCTCACGTCTTTGTTATTTTGGAAAGGACGAGATGATTTTTTTTTCACGAGGGTCCTCCTGCTTGTGATGTTTGGCCACTTGTATATTTTTTGGGAGTCTCTTTAATTCGTTGAATAAAAACCCAAAGTGGGCCAGAGAAAATGCACGCTTAAGGGGAGAGAACGCTCAAACTCCATGCGGATTAATTATAAACCCACATGTTGCCCTGCCTCCTACATCCATCTTTCTTGCCCCTGCAGATGTGAACTCACTTTGTACGATATTGGCGTCACCCGCGAATCCCACCTCTATAGTACAGGTGTGCACCACCCAAAGCCAAAGATCCCCCGTATAGCCTTAACAGACTGTTGGGGAAAGTGCGGTCAGCCAGTAGTACCTATGAAGGCCGGCACGGCACACGAGGGGGTGGGTAGCCAGCACCACCCCCGGCCGCCTTTGTCTTCCCAGTGGCGATGTTTACACACCGGCTCAAGGTACTCAATGTGATGCGGCCAACACGACTACCACTACACCAGCAGGTCTCTGTAGAGCAGGCGCTGGTCCAGGTGGCATCACACGTTCTGCTTAGCCACTTGATACACGGGGACTTCATGACAATTTTAAAGTACTGTATTGTTTATATCTATATGAGCAGAACATTTGTATGTACTTTGTCCAAGCAACTCTCACGAGACTGCTCTATGGATTTTCTGAGGTGCCATAGGACAACTGACGGTGTAGTTGTTTATTTTTTTTGCGAATGAGCTTGAATTAAGGATAATTTGTGAAAAAAGTCACCTTTGATTCAATAAACACCTATCTGTCAACCCCTTTATCAGTGCCTACCTTATTACAGACCAATTGAGACATTATTGGTCACCCCGTGCCCCTTATACATCTCAACGTTCATCCTACAAAGTCCCATCACGAGGAAGAAACACAAATAGACCAACAAAATGTGTTGCCCGTATTGAAACGGCTGTATGCCCGTATGGACCTGAAATCTCAATTTCCCTGTACAAGACTACGGCTACACCGTATGGGTTGACAGCTGTGTGAAACGACGACGAATTTCGCCTAGTTTTTTGGCTTCTCGGCCCCGCCTGCTAACCCGCTGCAACTATTTACAATCGGTGGGCCCCGTGGCGCGAGTTGCTCGGAGTGCGACCTTCAACCGCGGAGGGTTTTTTTTGGGCTTCTGGATGCGCGCCCCTCTGGGGGGGGGGGGGGGCGGGGCGAGGTTCGCCGCGCGCGCCGTCTCACTCGGCCCCTCCGAATCGTCAACACCCCGGTTCACGCTCTCACAACCCTCCCTCGGCTCACTCGCACCCGCCTCGCCGGCCTACTTCCAAAAATATATGATCGTTCTGGAATATCGAGGAGCTGTGTCATTTGCCCCTTTATTTTTCCATTATAATGCACACCATAAGAAGTATGTCAGTCGCGCGCTTTCAGGTGCGCGTCTGCGGCCGTCTGGAACGCTCTTCCTTCCGATATAAGGAAGCCACTGGAGCTATATGCACTTTTAAATCGAGATTTTTTAAAACTGATTTTTGCTATTAGTTTGTCCTTCCCCTGCAACTCCGATTAGCATGGTTGGCTACGTACGGTGCAAAAGAAGTTCAACATACATATATAGCACATTATTTAAAATGTTTTTCACCCATTATAACACGATCATTGTTGTTTTATCGCGCAATTATAATGTAACAAATGTAATTAATTCACGGGGGGGGGGGGGGGGGGGGCTGGGGTGGTTGTCGATGTCTGTGAACATAGGCGGGAGGAACAATACCGTAGCGTAATGCACACCGGGTAAGGGGACATCAACGGGCGTTAATACTACTTTCGCGAGGTGCTGAACCCAACGTAAGGTCTCGCTCATTTCCCCACGAGCGTTCTGCAAGAGAACGGCATCCACGCTGCGTGGTCGTCGCCGATTCAGCGGTGTCGTTCCGTGTTCTCCTTCCCGTCGGTCGTAATATGAAATACGTTACATCGGTGTCATCGCATGCCAACGCGGCTGTTTGTGATCAGCTCCACCACTTTCCACTGCACAGCAGTCAAATGGTATAGTCTATATATCTTGATACACAGTCTGGGTATCGGGATATGCACAACCTATGTGGGTTTTCACCAATCCTGATCGTATACAATATATGGCATATATATAAAACCCAAACTTTTCCATCTGTCCATCCATCACCTTGCATGCAAAGCGAATTACCGGCAACACACGCCACTCGACACGCTCTTTAAGAAAAAAAAAGCATTATTACGTTCGGAAATACGCCTTGTTGTTATCGTGTTACTTGTGCGTTCGTTGACAGTGCATGAGCAACATCTCAAGACGTGGAGTTTGCGCTGTGGTGGGTGGAGATGGTGCGGCGAGGTCTAGGGGCTGGTGAATTCTGGCTGGGCAAATAGAGAATCGAGGATCGAGGAAGTCAAGGAGCCCCCCTCCTCCTCCTCCTCCTCCTTCTCCTCCTCCTCCTCCTCCACACCACGGCAACGTGGGGCAGCGCTCATCTCCGCTGGCAGCGCCGAGTTCAGCCGTGGAAATTCATTATCGCTGCTGCGGCAATCGTTCTGTGCACACAAACCTCTGCCGCCACTACGACTACGACAGTACTTTAAACACACAAAGTGGTGCCTATTTTATCCACCGGGGAGGAGAGATCGTGCGAGCCGACCACTGACCAAAATGTGACGTTGATACATTTCGGTTGTCACTCGAGGCCCTTGTGACTGAACGTGGCTCGACTCGCTGTAGGAAGATATGTCTACTAGTATATGAACATTGTCGTGTTCCTGTGGGTACATACAAATGTTCCTGGAGGAGCGTTACACACAATCTGCCATTATTCCCACTTATAAGCTGTGGTAACAATTAACAGTTGTCATTATAAGATCAAATGCTGTTTAACCGCATTGCACGCACACGCACGCACACACCCGATCAATTAAACATTTAAATACAGCAGTTCACATTCTCAATAAATTAACATAAGGCTGCAAAGTGCATCAGTCACGGCACAAGCTTAATCAAGTATCAAATAAAGTATCTTAGAGGCCTGTCTCGTGTGTGTAAGTCTTTTTCATGTTTCTCATCGCTGAAATCCCCACGTGCTTCTGTGGTCGACCTCCTCTTTTCTGGAGCACAGTGACACAAAGGAACAGGAACGGAAATGTTACAATATTGAAAACATCATTATGGTACTGCTAGAAATGGCAATGTGCTGCAGAGCTAGTGAGCAAAATCAAGATGTCATCATGGCTAAAGCCGTAGATGCCACCACACCTCGCCAAATCACTCTACAGCTCTGCCCAGATTCCATACTGTAGCTGTGCAACAGTAGACACCACGCAAACTCAAACATCTGTCCTGTCAGTATTCCACCATGTGCTCTTGGGTCTTTCCCTTGGTCGTCGGACTAGTTTCTAACAACGACCATTAACTTCGTCTTCGGAAATATCACCGTAAGACGCCAGTGTCCAGCCTCGGGGCCTAAGGCCACCAACAAGCTGTGTGACTTGAGCCAACTTGGCAGCCAACAAAGCTGCATCATTTGCGTACTTCCAAGTCGCACACGTTAATCTGACCTATATTGATTCCCGTGGCTTCGAGTGTGCTAACCCCATTCGTGGTGTGAGAGAAGACATAGTCCAGCATAATATTAAACAACGTGGGAGACAATGTATAGTCTTCAAAAACACCTGTTCTAATATCTGTTCTAATATCAACCATTCTGATGTCTCAGAAGGTGTGTACCGGATTAATTGTCACAAGTGCAATTCATCAGATATACACCTTCTGTTGATAGCTTCGGTAATACATCTTTAGTACCAGATATTAGCTTCTGTATTTTATGTACCGTGCCAAATCTGACTCGGATGTTTTATTTTTCAAAAAAACCTGGCTAGTGTATCAGTTACTCCCACAATGTACGGTATTTTAATAGTTTAAATTACTTGATCAGTTTCAACTCTCGTGTTATTTGATTTGGTTTTGGCATTCAGTGCCCTGTTGATTTGTGCATCATTGTAACCGTTCAACTGCAGCGCTGCTTTACCATGTTTATTTTCACTTCTCAGACTGTCACCATCTGACACTTTCATAGCCCGATGTATGAGCGTCTTGATGAGAGAGGATTTCTGTCAGGAATTAAACAGCAATATTTCTCCATCAAATCTCGCTGTTGCCTGATGAAGCTAGTTGTAATTACTGGCGAAACGTCGGACTCGGATTGTAAAAATTGTGGATTTGCTCTCCATCACACCGGTGTGCTGTACTAGTAATAAATTGGCATGATCTGTCTACGTGACGAACCTTACTAATTAGCTGTGTTGGGTGGTTGCAGGTTTAATGACACATTTATATTTACACGATCTAACCAAAAAAACCCCTATATTATGGATCATATTGGTCGCGAAAGCTTACTACTTATTAAAGTCATAGTTTTGCTTACAGTCTACAAACGAAATCTAAAACTCCTCCCCATGCTCCCAACTCTCCTCTATCATCTGTCTTACTGTAAAGATCCGATCACTGCAGTCCCTTCCTGATATAAATTCACACTGGTGTCCCCTTGAGTTATTTTCTAATTCTTCATCTTATTTAGCAACATTCTGCTAAATGCCTTCGCTGGAATTCTCAGAAAACTATTTATCGTTCGAAATCTCCCTTCTTATGCAGCGTTGCCGTAACTGTTTTCCATCATGCTGTGACTCCATTCTTTCTGTATTTCAGCAATACTACCACATATTCTCAATGCCTTCACTGATTTAATCTGCTTCACTGGTGGAGACTAAAACAATATCGTAAAGTTCTCCTGAATATCACGAAGCACAATGGACATCGCCCATAATACTATGCAAGCTACACAGGGAGTAGACATATAATCTCTTTTAGCACCAGTTTACGAGATTGTCATGCTGTGCATGTATGAACACAATTTTATACGCTGGCTTTCACGACCAATATTATAATCCATAGCCACTTTCTCTTGGGTTAGATCGTGTTGGTATAATATCCAAAGTTAAACTTTCACCCTCGCACCATCCGACAAAGCCGATACAGTGAGGGAAAAAAAGTATTTGATCCCCTGCTGATTTTGTACGTTTGCCCACTGACAAAGAAATGATCAGTCTATAATTTTAATGGTAGGTTTATTTGAACAGTGAGAGACAGAATAACAACAAAAAAATTCAGAAAAACGCATGTCAAAAATGTTGTAAATTGATTTGCATTTTAATGAGGCAAATAAGTATTTGACCTCCTCTCAATCAGAAAGATTTCTGGCTCCCAGGTGTCTTTTATACAGGTAACGAGCTGAGATTAAGAGCACACTCTTAAAGGGAGTGCTCCTAATCTCAGCTTGTTACCTGTATAAAATACACCTGTCAATAGAAGCAATCAATCAATCAGATTCCAAACTTTCCACCATGGCCACGACCAAAGAGCTCTCCAAGGGACAAGATTGTAGACCTACACAAGGCTGGAATGGGCTACAAGACCATTGCCAAGCCGCTTGATGAGAAAGTGACAACAGTTGGTGCGATTATTCGCAAATGGAAGAAACACAAAAGAACTGTCAATCTCCCTCGGCCTGGGGCTCCATGCAAGATCTCACCTCGTGGAGTTGCATTGATCATGAGAACGGTGAGGAATCAGCCCAGAACTACACGGGAGGATCTTGTCAATGGTCTCAAGGCAGCTGGGACCATAGTCACCAAGAAAACAATTGGTAACACACTTCGCCGTGAAGGACTGAAATCGTGCAGCGCCTGCAAGGTCCCCCTGCTCAAGAAAGCACATATACATGCTCGTATGAAGTTTGCCAATGAACATCTGAATGATTCAGAGGACAACTGGGTGAAAGTGTTGTGGTCAGATGAGACCAAAATGGAGCTCTTTGGCATCAACTCAAATCGCCGTGTTTGGAGGAGGAGGAATGCTGCCTATGACCCCAAGAATACCATCCCCACCGTCAAACATGGAGGTGGAAACATTATGCTTTGGGGGTGTTTTTCTGCTAAGGGGACAGGATAACTTCACCGCATCAAAGGGACGATGGACAGGGCTATGTGCCGTCAAATCTTGGGTGAGAACCTCCTTCCCTCAGCCAGGGCATTGAAAATGGGTCGTGGATGGGTATTTCAGCATGACAATGACCCAAAACACACGGCCAAGGCAACAAAGGAGTGGCTCAAGAAGAAGCACATTAAGGTCCTGGAGTGGCCTAGCCAGTCTCCAGACCTTAATCCCATAGAAAATCTGTGGAGGGAGCTGAAGGTTCGAGTTGCCAAACGTCAGCCTCGAAACATTAATGACTTGGAGAAGATCTGCAAAGAGGAGTGGGACAAAATCCCTCCTGAGATGTGTACAAACCTGGTGGCCAACTACAAGAAACGTCTGACCTCTGTGATTGCCAACAAGGGTTTTGCCACCAAGTACTAAGTCACGTTTTGCAGAGGGGTCAAATACTTATTTCCCTCATTAAAATGCAAATCAATTAATAACATTTTTGACATGCGTTGTTCTGGATGTTTTTGTTGTATTTCTGTCTCCCACTGTTCAAATAAATTTGCCATTATAATTATAGACTGATCATTTCTTTGTCAGTGGGCAAACGTACAAAACTCAGCAGGGGATCAAATACTTTTTTCCCTCACTGTATATAAATCAAGTTGTCACATGGGTCAATATTCCAAAACTATTGCTTTTCACAAAACCGGAATGTTGAAAAGCAAGCAGAATGTTGCCAATTGTCTACACACAGTACGTGTGTTGTGGAAACCACAGAAACAAAATTTTGCTTAAATTGAAACTGCTCATTTATTTTAGCCTGGAAAGGCAAAATCAGCACACCCGTGGGCAATGGAATTGAGCAATGGTTGTAGGCACACACACAAAACTATTTAAAGGCCTCTACATACAATCACAGTGTACTATTGCTATTGACAAGGTTACCTAAAACATAATGCATGTTAATTAGAAGTAAACATCAAATTAATCCGGTAAAAGTATGACGTAACATTACTTCTAAAACAAGCCGTCCAACACGAGTGGTGTCCGATTGAATGCCCGTGGTGACAAGAGTCGTCGCTCCTGCACTGACCCGTTAGAGTGGAGAGTGCCCTCCGCGCATGCCGAACGGCACGAGGCAGAACACCAGGTCGCTGGGTAGCAGCTCAAACTCGTAGGGTGGGTTTGAGATCACGTACCTGGGGAGAACACGTGGGGTTAGGGTTAAGCCAGGGTTTGAGGTTACGTACCTGGGGAGAACACGTGGGGTTAGGATTAAGCCAGGGTTTGAGGTCACGTACCTGGGAAGAACACGTGGGGTTAGGGTTAAGCCAGGGTTTGAGGTTAAGTACCTGGGAAGAACACGTGGGGTTAGGGTTAAGCCAGGGTTTGAGGTCAAGTACCTGGGAAGAACACGTGGGGTTAGGGTTAAGCCAGGGTTTGAGGTTAAGTACCTGGGGAGAACACGTGGGGTTAGGGTTAAGCCAGGGTTTGAGGTCACGTACCTGGGAAGAACACGTGGGGTTAGGGTTAAGCCAGGGTTTGAGGTTAAGTACCTGGGGAGAACACGTGGGGTTAGGGTTAAGCCAGGGTCTGAGGTTAAGTACCTGGGAAGAACACGTGGGGTTAGGGTTAAGCCAGGGTTTGAGGTTAAGTACCTGGGAAGAACACGTGGGGTTAGGGTTAAGCCAGGGTTTGAGGTTAAGTACCTGGGAAGAACACGTGGGGTTAGGGTTAAGCCAGGGTTTGAGGTTAAGTTCCTGGGAAGAACACGTGGGGTTAGGGTTAAGCCAGGGTTTGAGGTTAAGTACCTGGGGAGAACACGTGGGGTTAGGGTTAAGCCAGGGTTTGAGGTCACGTACCTGGGAAGAAAACGTGGGGTTAGGGTTAAGCCAGGGTTTGAGGTTAAGTACCTGGGAAGAACACGTGGGGTTAGGGTTAAGCCAGGGTCTGAGGTCACGTACCTGGGGAGAACACGTGGGGTTAGGGTTAAGCCAGGGTTTGAGGTCACGTACCTGGGAAGAACACGTGGGGTTAGGGTTTAGCCAGGGTTTGAGGTCATGTACCTGGGGAGAACACGTGGGGTTAGGGTTAAGCCAGGGTTTGAGGTCACGTACCTGGGAAGAAAACGTGGAGTTAGGGTTAAGCCAGGGTTTGAGGTTAAGTATCTGGGAAGAACACGTGGGGTTAGGGTTAAGCCAGGGTTTGAGGTCACGTACCTGGGGAGAACACGTGGGGTTAGGGTTAAGCCAGGGTTTGAGGTTAAGTACCTGGGAAGAACACGTGGGGTTAGGGTTAAGCCAGGGTTTGAGGTTAAGTACCTGGGAAGAACACGTGGGGTTAGGGTTAAGCCAGGGTTTGAGGTTGAGTACCTGGGAAGAACACGTGGGGTTAGGGTTAAGCCAGGGTTTGAGGTTAAGTTCCTGGGAAGAACACGTGGGGTTAGGGTTAAGCCAGGGTCTGAGGTCACGTACCTGGGGAGAACACGTGGGGTTAGGGTTAAGCCAGGGTTTGAGGTCACGTACCTGGGAAGAACACGTGGGGTTAGGGTTTAGCCAGGGTTTGAGGTCACGTACCTGGGGAGAACACGTGGGGTTAGGGTTAAGCCAGGGTTTGAGGTCACGTACCTGGGAAGAACACGTGGAGTTAGGGTTAAGCCAGGGTTTGAGGTTAAGTATCTGGGAAGAACACGTGGGGTTAGGGTTAAGCCAGGGTTTGAGGTTAAGTACCTGGGGAGAACACGTGGGGTTAGGGTTAAGCCAGGGTTTGAGGTTAAGTACCTGGGAAGAACACGTGGGGTTAGGGTTAAGCCAGGGTTTGAGGTCACGTACCTGGGGAGAACACGTGAGGTTAGGGTTAAGCCAGGGTTTGAGGTCACGTACCTGGGGAGAACACGTGGGGTTAGGGTTAAGCCAGGGTTTGAGGTTAAGTACCTGGGGAGAACACGTGGGGTTAGGGTTAAGCCAGGGTTTGAGGTCACGTACCTGGGGAGAACACGTGGGGTTAGGGTTAAGCCAGGGTTTGAGGTCACGTACCTGGGGAGAACACGTGGGGTTAGGGTTAAACGGCGGCCAGGGAACGTCTAACAGGCGAACACGCAACTGGGATGTGATTACCATGCAATCTGCAGTAATAAAGTTGTTAAGAGGAGTGCAGTAGTGGCAGAGTGGTTAGCACGCTGCGCTATGGTATACCTCATTATGGTGAATGGCAGTGGCTTCAAAGTAACTCTAAAAGTTAGCAGGGCTATATCCAAGAGGAAGATGACAGGCCTGGATGTCAATATGCTCAATTATTCTATGGCACTGACAGCTCGAATACTGCTGCAGCTGCTTCTCAATTTCTTCAGAAAAAAAAACCCCCAGAGTATTTGTTGCGTTTAAAGTGAAAGTTCTTAGAAAAAGTCCGGCCAATGTTTAAACATTACTGATACGTCCCTTTTACAGTTATCACAAAAAGTTTTGCATTCCAACAGTCTCTTAGCTCAGTTAAAAAGAGGAAATTTGATTTAAATTAATTCCGTGGGGTGCACAGGAGGAGTCTCATGACAGACAACCAAGCAGTTGGCAGTCATCGGCAACCACAAAATCTGGAACGAAGACCAAAATCTGATCATTACTGGATGTCGCGATATTTATTTCTTGTAATAGCTTTTTATCGCCCACGTAAAGTAATTTTGCGTTGCACTGCTCAGTCCGTGCTGCTGTCCTCTCGACAGTTGGGTGGTAATTTTTACGCAATTCTTGAGGTCTGAATGAGAGGGTGCTTGCATGCACCTTCAGCTCTAAACACGTTTGCAGGGCATGTCGGGGGAAACAAAGAAGAGTAGGCAAGAGCCCTCATGCGGGTTACGCGAGGGCGCACATTTGTCAAGGAATATTTAAATGTTCATTTTCAAAACTACTCAACTACAATGAAACAAAAAGTCAGCCGAAAAGATCGTCGCGAGCTGCTCACCCGTTTGGTTCGTTGTAAGCCAGCAGTGGCAGTTAGAGGCATGGATGGCGAACATCAGCCGCTGTATAAAACGGTCACTGTTGACGTCCCCCGAGTGGTTATTCCAGCCTTCCCCTTGCAGAGGTAATTTATGGAGCCCATCAAGGTGAGGAGAGATTGAGTTGGCCCATGACTGATACATGAAATTAACAACTCACGACTGCGAGCACTGCTGCTCCACTAGCCGAGTTGCAATAAAAATGATCAGTCTGCAGCCCGGAAGCAGTCTGAGATATCGACAGGCATCAGGGAACATATGTCCCCTGTCGCAAATTCATCGATGTAGTCTGCAGCCTTTAGGCTGCTCGATAATATAATTTTGTCTCGTACAGAATTTAATTAAAACCAGCATCACAATCAGTTGAAAGGGAGGCATGAAGTGGGTTGCAACCCCTCTGTCGGATGGTAAAATATCTCATTTTAATAATGTTTGTGCATTCCATGACAGCTTTTGTTAAGCCAGGCACGTCTGTAATTAGCTGCAGGACAGAGCATACAGTGAGGGAAATAAGTATTTGACTCCCTGCTGATTTTGTACGTTTGCCCACTGACGAAGAAATGATCAGTCTATAATTTTAATGGTAGGTTTATTTGAACAGTGAGAGACAGAATAACAACCAAAAAATCCAGAAAATGCATGTCAAAAATGTTATAAATTGATTTGCATTTTAATGAGGGCAATAAGTATTTGACCCCCTTTCAATCAGAAAGATTTCTGGCTCCCAGGTGTCTTTTATACAGGTAACGAGCTGAGATTAGGAGCACACTCTTAAATGGAGTGCTCCTAATCTCAGCTTGTTACCTGTATAAAAGACACCTGTCCACAGAAGGAATCAATCAATCAGATTCCAAACTCTCCACCATGGCCAAGACCAAAGAGCTCTCCAAGGATGTCAGGGACAAGATTGTAGACCTACACAAGGCTGGAATGGGCTACAAGACCATTGCCAAGCAGCTTGGTGAGGTGACAATTGGTGCGAAGGTTCGAGTTGCCAAACGTCAGCCTCGAAACCTTAATGACTTGGAGAAGATCTGCAAAGAGGAGTGGGACAAAATCCCTCCTGAGATGTGTGCAAACCTGGTGGCCAACTACAAGAAACGTCTGACCTCTGTGATTGCCAACAAGGGTTTTGCCACCAAGTACTAAGTCACGTTTTGCAGAGGGGTCAAATACTTATTTCCCTCATTATAATGCAAATCAATTTATAAAATTTTTGACATGCTTTTTTAAGGATTTTTTTTGTTGTCATTCTGTCTCTCACTGTTCAAATAAACCTACCATTAAATTATAGACTGATCATTTCTTTGTCAGTGGGCAAACGTACAAAATCAGCAGGGGATCAAATACTTTTTTCCCTCACTGTACTGTTATTTTATATGTATGTATATCGTTTTGAATCTATCAATGAATGAACCAGGGCTTAGTATGATCCTCAATTTGCACTGCATGAGATATGTTCTTTCTGTGAAATACACAGAACCAGTTTCTACACCGCAACGAACATATAAATAATATAAATCCATATGCATATAAATCCATAAGCATATAAATCCATATGCTTATAAATCCATATGCTTTATTTCACACTGGATTGGACACGCGTTGATGATTGACTGAGTTAAAGGTTCGAGCGCTTGAGGAATTTATTAGCTTATTATTCACGCGCTTACTCGGTAGCTTATTGCATATCTTCATCACCAAGTATCTCCAGCGAGATTCACACTCTTAATTTATTGAATGCAAATACATCCTGTGTGTGTGCTTTGGTGAAGGAGGTGTGAATTCCCATTGCAATTCACTTCTCAATTTGTGCAAGGGGGGTACTTGAGAGCCCCAATTTGTTTTCATCCTTGAGGAGCAATGGGGCCTCTTTAACCAGACGTTATTGGTATTTTCCATGAATACACAAATACTCACCCTCGAGGCGTGCCTGTATGAGATGTGGGCAACGCTCGGCGCATCAGGAGGGAACCGCGCGTGACCCAGACGGCGCTCACGCGCGTGCGCGCACGTTTAAATTATAGCATTGCGAGCACAATCGTCAATCAAAGGGCTCTCCCACTCTCGACCCAACAGCAGCATGCTGATGGCATTCAAGGTGCGTGTTTTTACGTGGTACAGCGCCGTGCTAACGACCCTGCAAGGCACCACAGCGCTAGCGGCGTCTCGCTTTGGGCCTCATTGCCTGCCTCTGCTTTGTTG